TCTTACGACAACAGACATCGAGCGTTTCTAGCAAAACAAATACTTTACGTAAAGCGAAGCAACGGTTCTATTCGAATCAGTTATAATGTTAATGAAGTAAAAGAATTTTACATCTACTATTAAAATTTTTAATTTAAATTTTAGGGATTTATCTCAGTCACATAGATTGAATATGTATAATGTTATAAATTTTTCGTATATGGCAACGTCATTCGAATAAAAAGTGTGCACCTTTATTTTTGACATTTCCAGCTGTCAGTTTTTGACAGTTTTGTGGTTACGATTTTCCATTGGAACTATAGCTGTCGAAGAAATTCGCGACTTTGTAAATTGGTAATATATTAAAAAACTCCATCAATAACATATGTAACTATTATTACATCGTCATACATCATCCATTATTCAGTATAGTGAGATAATAAATGATCACAAAATTACACAATTTAATTGCAGAACTTTTGTGATCGAAAGCTAATTACATAATACTGCATTCACAATGTCGCAGGCTCCAGTACGTGTATCGCCTTTAATAAAATTCGGCCGCTGGTCATTGCTATTGGTTGGTGTTGGTTATGGAGCTTTTCATCAGAACAGATTATCCAAGAAGGAAGAGAAGGTTCGTGAGATCGAAGCCCAGCAAAAGGCAGTTCGTGATGCCAAATTGGCTGAAGAGAAAAAGCGTGCGGCAGCAGCCGAGGCTCGTGCATTGGAGGAATTGTCCAAACCAACTCCAAAGCATTAAGTAATTCTTTCCAGTAGGATTTATATTTTAGATTGTATCCACCGCAATGAAAAACTGCGATATAAATAAAAACGAAGACTCGTATAACATCAATAAATTGTTAATTTTTCTAATATGAAAATATGTGACTTATCACTATAAATTATCGTTAAATAATACGCATTTATTTAACATAAAGTTCGTTAAAATGACATATTAATTATAAAAAACATTGAACTTGTATACAAGTGCCATGTATGTTTGATAGGTCAATGTGTGAATTATAAGTTCTTCATCAGAATCAAAGCACTTTATATAATATATTTCTATTGCAAAAATTACAACTGAAGCAGGGAAAAGCCAATTACAAAGCTAAGTTGTAAAACAATAATTTGCGTATTTGAAAAGCTATATCAGTTTATAGTATATATAACCATGATTTAATAATATAAGGATGCAAGGAAGATAGGGGTAGATAGATAAATTGAAAGTTGAGGAATGCACTGCGACCAGTTGAATATGGTGGTCTCGCCTGTTATCACAAAACATCGTTTAATCCAGTGACATCAATTTAGGATAGAATTAGTTCTTTTCATTGTTGATAAGGATATGAAAATTGTTTTATTAATATTGGCAAAATCAGCTGATTTGCTTCTGTTTATTTTTATTTTGGCATAACGGCTTGCAACATTTTTCAGTATTATATGCATCCCTGATTATATGCAACAAGAAACGAAGAGTTAAGCCCGGGTATATCCGAATATTTCATACTCTTGAAACTTGAAAGTATTAAAGCCTTCAGTTACATTCAATTTTGTTAGTTATATGGGTTCTAGAGCTATACGATTTTATTCCTTCTCAAGCATAAAGATGCACCGTTATAAGGAAACACACACTCAGCTTTATTATGATAAAATCATTTTTTATTTTAAATTTCTTAATCTGTACATACCCGTTACCGTTATGAACTCGCCGAACGTCCGAACCATAATACGGAGAGAGAGAAAGAGGTAAATGGCTTTTTCTCCACTTTTCTCGCTTCTTCTCTGGCCGCCTGGATGCAATAGATCGCAAACGGGGAAGCTTTAGACTAATGAACTCTTCTTCAGGCAGTTCCTATTGGAACGCTTTCGCAGAAATCATCACTACAGTCACCTGTTTGGAGCGGAATCGCCTCCTAGGAACATCAAGAGGTCATTCCTCGATTACGTCGGCGGCAAGCACTGACCGCTTTCACAGTGGAGCCATCAACAACTTCACCGACTCCCTTCAGTGAATTGCGTACTCGGAGCTAAACTACACCCCATCGCAGACGAAGAGCTCGAGTTGGCGCGAGAAACGTGAGGGATCCTTGCGCAGCTTCATTCTGGATACTGTAGCAGGTCGAACTCCTACTTATCCAGAATAAACCCCGACGTGTCCTATAACATGTGCAATGCCCTGTGGACAATGAGACTCCGCAGGACACTGGCCACCTCTTTGCATTTTTTTCTAACACCCCTTTCCATTTGGTCCGACCTCGTCGAAACAGCACGTTTCTGAGCTTAGCTAATCCTTATCATCCTAACGGGGACTAGGTACCGCTAGAATAACAACAACAACAACGGTGAGATGTGGAAATTTACACAGTCATTCTATTATTCCCGCAGAAGGTAATAACGGAGGAACTTCTTGTATAATCTCTGTTGATTTTGTAATTAGATCCTATAAAGTAAATTGAAATTAAATTTCTGTCTGTAAGATAAATTTCATAATTCGACAAATTTATTTCCTTATACCATATATAACACTATGACTATTTATCGAAACATTTTCTAATTTAACAAAACAAAAATGCGTCAAAGGCGATAATCGGACAAGATTTGGGATAACACCACCACAACGAATAGAGTTACTGTGGTATAGTAATCGTGCATATAGTTTGTATTAAGTTATTTGGTATTGTTAATAAACTAAGCCGCGTGAAAAGTTAGTTTCATATAATTTCAATGCATACAAATAATTGAAAAAACGTAAGAAAAAATTTTGAATTAACGATTAAAAATATTTATACAATTGAATCCTGTAATCGATATAGGTAAATCTACTCTATTATGAATATCCGGCCCTCGTTACATAAATAATAAAGAGAATATATGGGAGATTTATTGGGGATCTGGCAACTCTTTTACTCACGTTACAGCTGTTGAACAACCCGCGTAATTTTAGTTTGAGTGGTTGTTTGGTCAATAAATTTTAGATTTGTTCTGTGCAAAGTATGTTTTGTAACTAAAACATGGCGGGTAGTCCGAAATCAGGTGAAATTCATAAAAAAGATAGTCCCCATACCTCCAAGCAAATTAGGCAGCCTGTACAATATGCTAAACCTGGTCCGTTCACCAAGTCGAAACTTTTTCAAGAATGTCCGGAAGCGGATATACGTGTGCTAAAGGATGCAGCTGCAAAAGTCGTTTTTCAGCCAGGTAAGCAAATTACTTAATTTCGGAAAATATTATATTATATTTTTATATGTATGTTATCTATCATTAAACTAGTATCGGCATTACTTCAAGTGCCATTGTTTGCGAAGTGGTCGCACATAACGACAGGCTGCATAGCCATAGATCATTGTTTGCGTGGTGGCATCGTGACACGTGGCATAACAGAGATTTGTGGTGCATCAGGAGTTGGAAAGACGCAACTGCTGCTTCAATTATCTCTAGCCGTACAACTGCCTACTGAGTTGGGTGGATTGAATAAACCAGTCGCCTACATTTGCACCGAAGATGCTTTTCCTTCGAAGCGTTTGTTTCAGTTATCGAAAGTATTTGAAAAGCGGTTTCCTGAAATTAATATCAACTATATGGGAAATATTTATATAGAACATGTTCTGGAAGCGGTATGTGATTATTGAATGCGAGTATAATATTTTCTTTAATTATTTATACATTGATTTTAACAACTGTTAATCCATGTTACAGAGTGACCTGTTAGAATGTGTTAGTGTGCGTTTAGCAAAGCTAATGGAATCATTTAATATTGGCCTTATTATAATAGATTCAGTCGCAGCAATATTTCGCACCTATAACAACTATATTAAACGCGCTCGGGACATGCGCAAATTGGCAAATCACTTGCTGCATTACGTTGACAAATACAACTGTGCGGTGATTTGTGTGAACCAAGTGATAAAGATACAAATTAGAAATTTAAAACTATTTAATATTTCTGGACTTTTAGGTTGCTACAGTAAGTGATGCGGTGAAAGAAACACCCTGCTTGGGTTTAGCGTGGGCACATTTAGGGCGCACGCGTCTCAAACTCTCCAAAGTCCCGAAAGAAGTCAAAATCAATGGGGACCTGTTAACAGTACGTCGATTTGAAATCGTATACTCACCAGAGACACCAAGCGAAGTTGCCGAGTTTTTAATTACTGCCGGCGGTGTGGTCGATATACCTATATAGTTATCTAACATATCTATTTCTCTCATTATGTATAGTTTTTTATTTTTATTTTCTATTGTGTTTTCGCATAGCTATCGTTAAGCATACAATGCTCCTGTTTTGTACATTCAATAAATAGTTGAAGTTTGAATTATGTAATTCATTACAATCATTGTTTGTAAACACGACCAATAAACTGTGTATGCATGTGATAAACGATTTGTTTGTATTGAAATTAACAGCAAATGGACTTGCAAGAATGTGTTTGGGCAAGTGAATTTTGTTTACATTTTACTTACATGCATAATTACATACATTCGTTTTGACATATTTACATACATTATGCATTTAAATTCCTTTCGTATACATTTAGTTTTTTGTTACACTTGTCCATTTATCACATTACACCGAAATAACCATAATTTTCGTATCTTCTCACATTCGAAATCCTCATACATATGCTTCATTAGTTTTTTAATTTGCTATTTATTCCTTGAATTTATGGCAACACTAAAGCAAAATTGCACATCCTTAGTACTCTTCTTATCCTAGTTCATTAATTGCGAAATTGCATACGAAAAGCGAATTTATAATTACAATAAGCATAAGCATTAGTTAAAACTATTAAATAATTCGATTGTTTGTTCAATTGATTTGGTTTTATACTCTTTTCTCCTTAATTGTCTAAACAGCTAAATACATAAATAACAATAATAAATACATATACTTATATGTATGTATATAACTAAAATAGTATCCTCTTGCAGTAATTGAGCTTCCTCTTATGACTGCACTTAGGCGCATTTTAAAATTAAATTTCTAGAAATTAAATTTTGTTCAGTTTTTGGCACAGTTCACACTGGAAGATTTCTCCATTAAATATTCTTATATATTCTCCTTTGATTTGTTTTAATTTTCCACATTGTGCATCACGGTATCTTCCTCGACATGCTCTTCGAATTCGTCATCATCTGTAGTTGGTGATTTTACAGCTGTTTTTTGCGCTACATCCATCTCCCTATTCAAATCTGTTTCTCTTTGCTCCTTCTCCCCCTCCTCCTCCTCCTCCGTCTCCATTTTTAGAATTTTCTCAGTGCGCGCCTTTCCTGTTGCTTGCTGCAAGTCCTTATCCTCGCTACTGCTCTTGCGTCGTCTTGCCTCCTCTGTTCTATCGGCATGAATTTTTGAGCCGAGCAGCGCATTTGATATTTTTGATGCTGCCAATTTACTCTCGAAATCCATGTCGCTAAATTGCATAGGACTATGATTGCTGGCGGCGCGCAATATACTTAATTGTAGTTCGCGGTGTTGCGGTGACTCCTCCAATTTTATTTCGAGTTTCTCGGTCTGCTCCAATGGCGCAGCCGGTTCAACTGTCAGCGGTATGGCGTGTTGCCGATGGTGAGGAAGTGAGTGCGAGTGGTGAATGCGGTGGGAATGGTGTTGGTGATTATGCTGCGAATGTTGATGTGCACCTTCCGCGTTTTTGTTGTTGTTGGTCGCTTTGCCACTGCCACTCACCGTTGTTGGTTTAGCACTGTCTGCGCCGCCACCATTCACCAGGACCGAGCAATTGTTGTTGACAGACGGCGTCGTTGGATTCTTTGCGGTTTTTTCCAGCAATGCACTCAGCTGTTTCTTGATTTTTGTCGTTTGCTTCGCAGATAATTTGGCACTCAATTCAGTCGAGGTAGCGGAACGACTCTTTTCGGTGTTACCATTTGCGGAGCTATTGTTTTGGCCATTGTTGCTGTGGTGGTGGTTTTGTGATTTTTTGCTTGACGTTTCGGCCGATAGCGTGGTGGTGGTGCTACTGGACCCCGTTGTGGTGGCACTGTTCGGCGTTTTGCCGTTCTCACTTGAATTTTTAGAAGTATTTGTGGTTTTGTGCTCGGCAACTTCCGAATTCGTGATGTTATCCTGTTTCTTCCACTTGGTTCGACGGTTCTGAAACCAGATTTTTACCTGGAATAAGAAAAAAAGAAATTCAAAATTTTTCGAATCTATTCGTAATAAATTTATTACATAACTACAGGTTTGTCTTTAAAAGTATGTTTTTATATTTATATAATTTAATTTTAACTAAATAAACAAACTATTTAATCTTTCTTCAAGGAATACCAGTAAAACTAACGTTTTTCGCGAGCAAAAGCTTAAACAAATATTACCTGTAATTATTAACATTAATTACTTAAATAGCTATTCGTTAGATTTAAGGACATTAATGGATCCGGCCTTGCTGGAAGGGTGACGATGCTTTTAATGCCGTGAGTCGATGATGTTCAAAGTCATTGTTTGCAGAGGTAATCTCCTTTCTATGACACCACTTTAATTGATTCTACGTCTCGTTGTTAGGAACAATCTCCTATAGACCCGTAATCTACACAAATATAAACCTAAAGATTTAATCTAAAATCTATATTTTGGGTGTAATGACAAATGGTTAAAAGCGCCGGGGGAGTTTTCTGAAATTTCAAAGTTACGTTTTTTAACAACATTTCAATTTGTTATTACAAACTACAATCGGTGAAGTAATTTAATTATGAAGGACACATACTTTGAAAACGTTCATTATGATAAACGCTTTAAACTTTTAAAATCTGCTGTTTTTATAAGATAGATATAAAAAGCTATGCATTTATTTAAAACAAAAAATAAAATTGAAAAACTTAAAAACACTACTATCCCCTTAACTATAATGTCGTCATTATTAAAAAAAAAATATTTAGATAATTTATTTAAAATTTATATTGCATCACACTTTAATTCTATAAAAGTAGACTTGAAAATAAATAAGAGTTCTGAAGGTTTTCATTCTCAAATTAATCAAATGAATTCGAAGATACATGATGTGCCTTTATACTTCCATTAAATGCTAATTAACCCCAAATCCAAATATTACTTTTTTACTTTTCTTCTAGAAAAGCATTGTTGACAAAAACGTTATTATTTAATAAAATAACTGTCAGAGGTCCTATATGTCCTAAACACATATGAAAATTTGACATCTTTGAGCAATGATTATATGGCAATCGGTTGTCATTGACATAACTTCCTTGCTAACAACAACCAACTGCTGAAAGTTTAATCACGCGGAAAATGGTTTATATACGCCGTCAAAGAATTAGTTTCGAGGTCATAATTTGTCTGGCTGGTTGGAATTCATCATGTTCAAAATATTTGTATATAAATGTGTTTTCAGTTCAGTGTTCTGCTCATATGCAGGGGTTTCCAATAAGAGATGATTTCTTAAAAAAATAACACTCATTGTTAAGGAAATTCAAAAACCTTTTATTTAATGTGAAGTACAATATTAAGTTCCAATGGGCTCCCAGACTTCTTTTGCAGTAAAGAATTCACTGGAACAAATTTCAAATCGAATGGAGTCTGGTTTATTTATAAAGACCAATGGCTTCAAATAATCTAATGATGTTAAATCACAACTACTTTTTATCACTTGAACATTATGTAAAGAAAATGTAGGCTTGAAACAACAATTCGATGTATACGAAGGTGAACGATTATTACGGCCATAAAACGGCAAAAGCGTACGAAAAGTTGCAATTGAAGAACTATTATCTTGATAATTATAAACGCTGTCTTGCTTATATATTTCTATGATGAAATTGTAGACATTACAGTTCATGGCATATTAAAAATGACCAAACGACACACGAAATCATAGCATCCCTATTGGAAACCCGGTACAAATATATTTTTCCGCTTCGTTTTGTCTGCGTAAAAAAAAACATTTGAATTTAATGTTCTAAGGTACGTTGAAGTTTATTAATGACTCATCATCATTTTATTTAATGCCAAATAATGAAATCTTTTGGCTCATCAAAAGCTCTTAGCCAGACATTGATTGTGTTTTGCTTTCTAGCATTTATTTTCTTTACCAATAACACACACACACGTTCACATGTACATATGTACTTTGATCGATTACAACACAGGCACTCGCATATCCACCTAGTTAAACAAATAATCGAACGATTCATGAATTGTTCGATGGCTTGAGCGATTGATGAAGATGGATTATGAGTGCTTCTCGTTGATTTCGTAATTTAACAATCGGAAAACATGGTGTAGGTGGCTTCGTTTGTTGAACTTATTTGAAATTCAATTTCATTTTGTTCAATAGACCTGTTTTTTATATTATTATGAGAAATACTGAGTAATTTTCTAATTTCCTGTAAAATCCAAAAATAACTATACACATGTGCACATACATACATGCATATATGCACTATGTAAATCTATTATATGCTTATAATTACTCATTAACTTTTTGGACGGCACAGAAGTTTAAGAGCTTCGGAAAAGTGCCATGATCGAGAAATGGAGCACTAAGTATACACGTGTACAAACACACTTACACATACTGGGTGTTTAAATATTCTTACAGATTTAACGGGTGTAGCTTTTGAATTCTCGGAAGTTCACCGTCAGTTCTGTGGGAGCTTATAACACATGGCACCCTTCATTTGTCATACTATTTGATTCCGCCAAAAATTGGAAGAAAGCTCGGTCGCATATCCGGCAAGAGTACTTGACTGCGAAAACTAAAAGAGAAAATATACCGCAGATTTTCTAAAAATAATAGAGGTATTCAGTTAACCTTGCAATTTTATTGCAAACTTCGCTAAATGGCAATATCATAAAAAAGCTGTTCATTTATACATGCAATTTAGTTTGTGACAAAGTTGCAACTAGGCGAGACTGTTTTCAGTGGCTTTCGCCGTAATTTGACTCAAACCACAATCAGTTTCGGTTTCTTCGCTGTAAAAGGGAAAATGTAAGTACTTTTAAATATAACATTGAAATATTTCATTACATTAAAATTAATTGAAATTAAGGATAACTAATTCCCTCCTATAACCCAAGTTGCCATTTTCCCAATTTGGTGCTGTTACATAAATGTCAGATTAAGGGTACTCAATTATTTAAATACTGTTGCTCAAATTCGGACACCCTGTCTCTGTGATAAATGTGTAGTTAATTGCATAAACCCTCATACAAATATACAACATTTGTTTCACAAACACGTACTTATTGTTCCGCTGGTGTTTACATTTATGAAAATTCAAAATTTGCTTTCAATTGCCAATAAAAATGTGGAATGTGCGTCATCGTAAATAGATACGAGTAGCAGTCTAATTTCCAATTGTAGGAATTATGTGATTCTTCGTTTGTGGTACATACATACGTACACATATTGGAACACCGCACGCAAGTAATTGAGTTAATTACATGTGGCATGCAGCACATATTCTTTGAATTTAACGGTAAACAAATCAAAACAGCGAAGTGTTAATTAAATAATACCTTTAGGATACAATATACATACCTACATACAAATATGGCTTATTTATGTTATTTGGCACTCACGCCTTGTTTTTTTTAAAACCACAAAAATACAAATTTAGTCACAAAATCTTAGGCGTTTAAGTAAAGAGATTTTGTATACATTGTTTTTATTAACTTCTCTTGATAATGTTGTTGTTATTATCAATTACACAGCTCTGCATAAAATATTTTTTTGTTGGGTTATGAGTGCTTCTTGCTTCCTGGATATTTTAGAAAAGTTTGGATGATTTCAAGTGTACAGACCACGAATTTTTTATGAAAATATTGAATATGTTCTTGTTTCTATGATATTTGCACTTATATTTCGATTATATAACGGTTATTTAGAAATAAAACTTTTTCCAGTCATTATTAGGGTCCTGCACCCCTTTTCGCGCATACAAACATTATGTGATCGCCATTCTCATCCGAAAATATGCGAAAAATTGTGCGGAACGTAAATAAACATGATGCGTGGCTAAGTATATCGAACTCTACAGTCTTACAGTTTTACTTAATGAAAATCTTCCTATGGGTTTCAAATATAGTGCGCATGCTCTCAAAAACAACGATGGCGCTAAATTCTCAGAAATCATTACAATTCACCAGCGGAAAAAAAGGAGGGTGAAACATTTGAGCCTAAGTTGTTTTTCTGAAAATCCGCTCAGGGATTTAGGACGATTGGGACTTTCAAGGATATTATTTTAACTACATTTGTAGAAAATTTCTGAAGTTTGGCATAGAAAAGTCGAACTAGTAGTTTGTCTTTCAATCAGGAAAGATACAGATTTTAACAAGATTATGACTGTTCCGGAAAGTGATGCTTGGAAAAGTTTTTTGTTAGTAGTAACCATGAAGCACAAAGTTATGAATGAATTGTTGAAAATTGTTGAAATGTTAGTTTCAAGTTAAACTATATCCACGATTACCTTATATTTTTGGATAATTTAGAAAATTATAGCGTGAAACACACAGAGAGAGAGAGAGAGAGAGAGAGAGAGAGCTGTTCCACTAACATTGAAAAGTGATGAAAGAAAAGTATAAACACTGCTAATAATTAATAATAAAAAGCCATGGTCAACTGCAAAATTATAAGAGAAAGGCGCATAAAAGTCATTTAATTAAGATATAAAATATGTTTTGGACATTTGTCTCTATGTTAACTTGGATGAGTGCTTATTTTTGAAAACAAAACTGGTATTATAAATAATTATATCCCTTTTTTTGTTAAAAATAAACGACAGCAAATTTTACAAAATCATGAAAGTGGTTTTGATATACATATCTGAAATCGATCTTATATAATATCTAGGGCAACAAAACCGCTAACCAGTGTTATTATTCATCATGGATGACATCAATAGTCCGATTATTGCAGTCTTTCAACTTTTTTATACAATTAGTGCCATAGAGCTTTAGCTTCAAAGTTCATATTCAAATTTTCAGGAACGATATGTCCAACTTCTGATATCCTTATATTATGATCCACACATGTATCTAGAAAAACTTTATTTTACGTTCGTCCAATATTATTTTGAGAATTTTTTGATGTTTTTGTTTATTTTTTTTTTTGTTTATAAGAGTCGCATTTAACCATTTACGAATGATAACTTTAA